CACCAATCAGAGCAACTTCTTACAGTGTTTCACCACCCTCATTGTAAAAAAAAGTTCTTCCTTACAACTAGTCTGAACCTGTCCTCCTTCAGTTTAAAACCATTACTCTTTGTCCTAGTGCTACAGCCCCTCCTAAAAAGTCTCTCCTCATCCCCATGTAAGTACTGAAAGGCCCCCCAAAAGGTATCCCCAGAACCTCCTCCAGGTTGAACAAGCCCAACTCTCTCAGCCTTGCCTCATAGCAGAGGTGTTCAAATCACCTGAGCATTTTTGTGGCTCTCCCCTATACACACTCCAGTATGTCCATTTTTTTCCTGAACTAAGGAGCTGGATGCAGTACTTCAGGTGTGGTCTCACCAGTGCACAGTAGAGGGGCAGAATCACCTCCCTTGACCTGCTGGCCACAGCTCCTCTGGTACAGCCCAGGGTATGATTGGCCTTCTGGACTGTGGGCATACACTGACAGCTTTTCATCCACCAGTTCGCCCAAGTCCTTCTCTACAAAGCTGCTCTCAATTCCTTCATCTCACAGCCTGTATTGATACTGGAGGTTGCCTCAACCCAGGTGCAGGAACTTGTACTTGGCCTTGTTGAACTTAATGAGGTTCTAATTCTTGAGCTTTTTCACGTCCCTCTGGATGTCATCCCATTCCTCAGGTATGTCAACTGCACCACTCAGCTTGACGTAGTTTGCAGACTTGCTGAGAGTGCACTTGATCCCACTGTCTATGTCACTATCGAAGAGATTGAACAGTACCAATCCCAGTACGGACTTCTGGAGGACACTGCCTGTCATTGACCTCCATCAGGCCATTGAGCTGTTGGCCACTACACTCTGTATGTGATCATCCAGCCAATTCTTTATCCATCAAACAGTCCATCTCTCAAGTCCAAGCTTTTCAATTTAGAGAGAAGGACTTTTCTGAGGGCTGTGTCAGAGACCTTACATAAGTTCAGACAGACGACATCTGTAGCCTTTCCCGTGTCCCCTGAGGTAGTCACCGCATCCTAGAAAGGCTGATCATCCTTGGTGAAGCCATGCTGGCTGTCTCAAATTACCTCTCTGTCCTCTATATACCTTAGCATAGCCTCTATGGAGGAAGTGTTTCATGATCTTCCCAGGCTGACAGGTCAGTTCCCAAGGTCTTCCTGGGATTTGACATGAAGTCCACAGCTTCTTTCCCAACATCCTTTACATTTTGCCTTAGAAGCCACTTGTTTTCTTCTGCCACAGACATCCAGAGGGTCTATTTCCCCTGACTTCCCCTGACTGCTGTCTAGCAGACAGCCCTGATGCTGGATGATAAGTGGTACCTCACAGTCAGCAGGCATATTCCAGTATAACTGTCTCCCAGTAGGCTCTAGTTCTGTCAGATTCTGAGTGGCAGCTTCCTACCTATGGCAGGAGCCCCAGCGTAGGGCCATGGTCGCCCTCCCCCCATCCCTCCTAAGCAACACCCTCCCACACCAAAACCGGCACGGTTATCTTGTAGACAGGTTTTATTCACAAGATTATTGGAGAGGCTTGCTACAAACCAAGCACATATCCCATCAGAAAGAAAAACCTGTCCCTTGGGATATTCATGCCATGTGAGACTTAGGGTGATTGTTTATATCAGGCGAGGAACACTTCTGTAACATTCTGGTGGTCACCAGATATTTGTAACCTTTTGCTTCCACTTTATAAAAAAGATATGTATCCCCATTTTTCTGATGACTGATGGCAGTCCATGTCTTCAAAAAGGTTCAATTACTGAAAGCTTGTAGAGACACCCAAAACTGTCAGCTTTTTGGTTTGTACACCTCATCATTTCAAAATATTGGTTGTTTCAAAGAGATTTTCAGATGCCAGATAATGAAATACTGCACTATTTTAGAACCACTTCTGCAGGCACTTCTTATATACACAACACCCATAAACCATAAAGGACCCATCAGCTACCATAACGTCAGCTTAGTTGGAAAAGTTCTGCTGGTTTTGTCAAAATGTTTAGACTACAATAGTAGAAAAAAAACACAAAAAAATTGATATTTAATAAGATAATCTTATTGTCTCCTGTTTTTAAACCTTATGAAAAATAAAGTAAAATATTTCAGTGCTGATTATTTGCCAACCATTTGGGAAATTCCAGTAGAGTTTTATTATCTTGTGTTGAAGTGTTATCTCAGGGGAGTATCTGCATAGTATACATACATCAGCTCAATTTATATCACAATATTGAATATTTACCTAAGGATTTAATTATTTAAATTTACAAAAGTCAAGATTTACCGCAGTGTCACTGGTAGCAGAATAAGACATGGTACATGCAAGTGTGTGTGTGCGCATGCACTGAAACTTACTTTCCAGCACAAAACCCCAGTTAAAGTAGAGCTGTAAAGAAGGTGATTGATAGAACCATGTCCTCTTCCAATTACATTTGTAACTCAAATTAACCCTACATGTTGGCGTATGTTTATTATTTTTGCATTACACACATTATGTAAAACCACTCCAGGGACTATGCCATTATTTTTCAGATCTGCTGTATTTTTCTGAAGAAAACTGCATTGTTTGGATGGTTTTTGTACAATTAAAATTTCACACATGATCTCATCTAGAATTCAGCATAGCAGAAAAGTATTTGCAAGTAGTAATGAATTATTTCAGTAGATTTTTATTGGGCTATTTCCAAATATAGATGAATGCATTTTGTTCACAAAAATAGGAGCTTTTCCAAATATTATTATTATTAGATAATAATGGAAGTGCTCAAATTATCATTCTGAAATTTTCTCATTGTTTTGATAATGTTGTCCCTACTTTAAACAACTCTGAATACTAGTCTCAAAGAGTAAGCTCTCCAATTTTAAAATACAGGTTATCCAAGGAGGAAGCAAACCCAAGCCCATGCAAGTTCTGTGTCCAAGTATGTTACTCTAATGACACAGAAACGAAATCATAGTTTAAAAACTATAAGCCAACCATAAGCTAAAATGTGTGGGACTAAAACACAGCCATCATTCTTTAACGAAGTTTCATTTATCCATTGCACCAATGGAAACTGACCACTAACTTTGCTTAAAAAGAGTCAAACCATGAGATTATGCCAAGTTTTGCCAGATGAGGGAGGCTAATATTCACTTCATAATTTCATTTTCTGATTTCCTGACAAAATATATTTATGGCTTCAGAATCACAAGCAAAGACAGGGCTCAGGCCTTTCTCCAAGAAAAACAACAATATGACAATCTTTTGCAGTAACAGGACCTGTGGCACTTCAGCAAAATTGGCATTTCATTCATCAGCAGGTAAGGGTGCACATGTGTGGACACACACAAACACACACACATACACTATTTAGTACATTAGAGCAGAGCAATACATTTAAGATATCCGCCCTTTACGAAGTTAACCTAGAGATTAAAAAAGGCTTAAATTTTCCTTTTTTTTTGTTTTTGAAAGATAATTTTTCTGTTATTGAGCACTTCATGGGTTTCATAAAGCACTGAAAATAAAGAAAAAACTACTCAGCTTTATAAATCAGATACATGTGACTGGATTTAAGATGAATATTTTAAGTGAACTGGGAATCACGTGCTTCACTATTCTCTTAAAATTACACACAGGCTAATGGATTAGGAAAAAAGGAAAAAATATATTTTATTCAAAACAGCTCTAGCATTGAAATATTCAATAGCTTGACAACAAAACACTTCAGTAGATGGATAACAATGAGTTTTCTTAACTGTAAACTGTAGATTGTTCTAAGAAACAATCTCTTATTCTGTATCTTCTCCATTTGTGATGAAATAGTATCAACTTCATGGCCTTTTCAGTATGATAAAATGAACAAAATCCAAACAAACAGCCCTACACACACACAGAGAAAAAAACCCCACATCTCCCAAACCTCAAAAAATAAAACCAGTTTTTGAATAAAAAGAGACAACTGACAAAGGGTCTCTGCATAATTTGGGAAACCACCATTATTAGATTACATTCTTTTCACTCTTCAGCACTCAAATCTTCACTTGCTAAAACTCACTGATACTAAAAAATCTATCCCATTATATATTTAGACTTCTTCATGTCGATATTAAAATAAACTATGTTCTGAAATTAAGAGTTAAAATACCTCCTTTTGTATTCCATACATATTTGCCTGTATAAATATACTTCATCATTTTAAAAATTACAGTATTTATATTAAAGCTTTTGGTCAGCAAATCATTACAGCTTAATATGAACAATTCCTGCGTTTTGGTTCTGTCTTTAAATCATTTTTGGAGATAACGAAAACCAGCCAAAATGAGTGACTGCAAATAATACAAACAAGAAATTTATTTAGAAAAATAAACTGAAAATGCTGCTTGTCTGATAGGTATCTCCATGAAGCATAGACAAATGGCTAGAAAAAATTTATGTCAAATACATATTACAAATGACTTCTTTAACAGTAACTGGGACTATAATGTCAATGTTCAATAGGAACATTTTGGATGTATAATTCCATAGACTAAATTTCTTGGTTGCTAATACGATAAAAAATGGATGCTAATAAAAAAGATTATATCCCCGTTTTAAATACACCTTATCATGTTGATGCTTTTTCATATATATACATATATATATATATATGTATGTATATGTATGTATTTATTTAAACCAAAGAAAAGACCACAGTCCTTTCTGTGAAGAGATCCCCATAGTGAAAGAGAGCGCAAATATTCTTCTTCAGTTCTAACTTTCCTTTTGGAGCCCCAACAAAATATAGCTTGCTGTGGTCAAAAATCTCCTGGGGCCATCTGTGCAAACGGTGACACACATCATTACCCTGAATGGAAGTGACAGTGCAAATACTAGAAGTGCATTGAGATGCAATCTCTAACAGCTGAACTTCAAAGCTGGGTGGAGGACAGGAGACAGTGTCCTTTTAGGCAATTTAACATCACCGATGCTCTGTTCCTGTATGGCTTTGCATATGTACAAGGGTTTCTTTCCCTATAGACAGACATTCCTCTGTTATAGTAAATGAATTAATTTTCTGCTATTAATTAAGTGCTTCATCACTCCTTTTGGCTACATACTGAAATATTTGTGGATGCTGGCTGGACCTATGAAAAACTCATTGTTTGTTACTCTGGTTGGTCAGCACAGGACTCAAGTGTCAGGCTCGGAGACAGCAGTTTCTGCAATGGGGCAAGACATTTAGTCCTCTATATTCTTCTTTCCTACTAAATGGAATTTAAGGCTGTGGCTTTTGCCAGGACTCAGCTTGTAGCTGTTAGATCTGAGAAAGCTGATTCAATGCAGATTACATTCATGATCAGTTGTGCTCTGACTTGAAGGGCTTTTCCATTCTCCTCAGAGGGTCAGGTTCCTGGTTACTTCTCAGATCTGGCCTGCAGAAGTCACTATGATGAATCTGATATGCAAGAAATTATCTGATGTGCCTCCAGGTATAGATATTCCTTTAAGTCTGAAGGTGCTGTTAAAAAAAAGAGAAGACAAAGTTATAAAGATGTTATCTCAAACAGATGAAGTGAATAGTAAACAAAACAGAATTTTAAGTTATTGTTCTATTTCATGTGTGAGCAAGTGTTCAGAGAATTATGGTATTTTGAAACTTGCCCTTTTGTAGTTGCGCTTGGTTATTGATACAAGCCTTGGTTCTCTAAAGGGGTTTAGGTTCAATAATGTATTTGGAATCACATTGCATTACACCATCTGAGAAAGTGATTGCTACTGGCCTAGGTCTTGAAGCATATGAAGATCTTAAAATGATAACTTTTTTTTTTTTTTTTTTTTTTTTAGTTTTTCATTTTAGGAAGATTAACCTTCTTAACCTACCTAACAATTCAACTTCACAATATGCCTCAGGACGCAAAGTGAAACAAGAACTCCTGAGATCTTAAAAATAAAAAGCTATACATGAAGCAACAGAAAAAAACTCTAAGAATTCAAGTGTAATATAACCTGAGAATTTGCATTGTAATCCCTATTCTCAAATTAAATAAAAAGTGAATTCAGCAGAAGTTTCTCAACTGATATGTAAGTTTCCTAAACAATAATACAAGAGGTAAAATTTTGATTTGGTACCTTCATATTCCTTTTTGTTAAACTGCTTTAATTTGAATAGAATTGTCCTAGAGCCACTGGTAGAGAATAATACTCCAACTTAATGCTGAGGTTCACTGATTCACAGAATTTCCTAGCTTTATTTATTAGACATGAGATAAAGCAGCATCAAAGAGACCTTGGGATACTTACCTACTGGTAGCTAGGGCACTAATTTGGGTTAAATGATCGAATTCACACCTCTTGAGGAAAAGAATGAGAACTTCCTCTTTCAGCATTGGTGAATTACACCCAGAGCTACATTCTGCAAGGGGGAGGAAAATTACTTCTTTGCCATTAGTTTTATGAATGTAGCCTTTCATTCACACTTCTTTTTATTTCATATTGACTGGAATTCTTCAATTTGACAAAGATTGTCAAGGGTTAGGACTGAATTTCACCTTGGCAGGGTAAAAAAAAAAATAAATCTAAAGTTTGACCCTTTTTATTTTTTCTGCAGAACTAAAGCAAAATACTATTCAGGGAACCTTAATTAATATTCAGGATTGTAACAGTAGCCCAACAGTAACCCAACCCAGCAAACATGGTATAATAAATTTACAATAAAACTGTCCTGGAAGCGAATTTTTTTCTCAGTCAACTATTTAGGTCATGGCTTACATTATTAATGAAAAAGATGAGTATCCTAAATAGCTGTTAGTAGCTTATTTTTTAACTAAGGACAGTATTCATCTCACTAGAAATATACAGCCCTTTCTCAGCTGTCACAGCTTCTGGCTTCAACTACATCTGGGCTAATGATTCGTGTATGTTAATACCTCATAAAAAACACACAAAAAAGATGGCATTGTCCTTGTACTCAGCTTAATGTTCATAAAACATAATGAATAATGTACAACAAAACAAATGCAAAAGTAATAATCATCATAATCATCAAAACAGAAATAATATATATAGTATTTGCTCTGTGTCAGAAAAGTTGTTCCTTGAGCTTATTCTGAATACAGTACAATACAACACTGAGCAGCTGCAGGCATGAAAAGCAATATATTTTTTTTCTTTGCCCCTGGGTTGCAATTCATGAATATATTCAATATCATGTCCACAAAACCAGTAACTGGTATATGAGGTATATCTGGATTCCTCTAGAATCTCTGTAATTCAGGCACCAACCCACATCATTTGGTACATTTCCAGTCATACAACCACAGGATATCCACCTTCGTTTCATCAACATTCCACCAAAGAAGAAAAGCCCATCTTGTGTTTGTATATGATGTCTCTACTAAAAAGCACATGTGAAAAATATGACGCACCTTTCCACATTAATTAAGAATTTGTTCAATCTAGAAGATTATGGTTAAACTTCTTCAGTAAAAAATTAAGAAGGTGGCAATGTCTGCAGTAAAAACTGAAGAAGCAGTTCCTCTTATGACTTTCAAAAAAAAATCTGTAATTACAAGTCATTACTGCACACATGAAGAAGTAAGGCACCGGGAGAAAATAGGCCAGTTATTGAAAAAAAGAAGTGTCAAGTAATTATAGATTACTATCCTGATCTGTCTAGTTCTTAATTTTATAGCTTTGACTATTTTGACAGGCTGTCAAATCACTACATTCAAATCACTGCATTTAATTAATCACTGCAAAATCCCTCCATTAAACCATACCTTGTCAACACCCTTATAGTGGAAAAAAATGACTTTATTAGGGAGCTTGAATTTGGACAACTTATGGGAGACCCTTTTGTTAATTCATATCCCTTTTCCCTTTTTCTACTTGAAAAGCATTACTGGGTCATTCTCGTTCTTCTACAGCATCAGTGTGAAGTTCCAAAAAAAAGAGACTTAGAGAAACTAATAGCATTTTTTGCCCGTTCAAAACCAGATAACTAGTGTTCTAGAATAAAAATTTATACTTTACTTCTCTGACAGTATTACCGCAAAACACCTACTCCCTTTGTTTCCTTCTATTTGCCACAGTTTTTTTAAAAACGGAAAGTGAGTCTAGTCCAATCTAGCATGGCATTCTCGTCCCCATCATGCCCATGACCACAGTGTCACTGCACAGAGTTCTATGCTGAACACTGCAAATTGAAAATATTAAAGGAAAAGGTTACTAATGGAAACAGTCCTTTCACCTCAGACCTATAAAATGGCTATGCATATACTGGTTAGCATAAATTGCACAATGATTTACAGGTTTGGTACAAAAAAGGAAACTATAGAAAGGGACATTTATCCGCTGTTAGCTGAACAAGCAATAAATTTTGTTTTAAAGATACTCAGATACAGCTTCAGCTTACAGTATTTAAAGAATAATAAATGCAGTTTGATTCTGTAGTGGCATGATAGGAAGAACATCAAGCAAATCATATAAAAGACATTTATCAACCTGAACTGATGAGTGCAGTGGTGACTGACAATCACAGAAAAGACACTTTAGATGAAACTTTTTATGCTGGGTCTAGTGCCTTTTATAAAAATAAAAAATAAAAAAGGAAAAAAAACCTAGGAAAAATGCATTTCATGTTCAATTGAGAAAGAGAGATACGCTTGATTAATACTAAGCTATATAATTTCCACATAGTTTTGAATCTGAGAAAAGCACATGAAAGACTAGTCTAATGCAAATCTCCATTTTTTGGGCTATTTTAGCACAGACAGCATAATTTGAATGTATGTTGTCATCTGTCATAAGCACACTAGCTGTCAGAGTTATTACCTATACTCACATATTTAAGAGTATAACAAATGCTCCCAAAGAAAAAATAAAATCATATATTAATAAATTCTCCTAAAAATAGTGCACATATTGTGTAGATATTGCTTAAATAGTAATGACATCTATTTCAGTTACTCAGTTGTGCCTGAAAGATACAGAAATATTCAGATATAGACTGTCTTAACTCTATTACCTTGGGTTTATTACTCCTTTCAGATAAGATCCATTACTATACTAATTCATTCAATAGAAGAAAGAATTATTGAAAGGGAAGGAAATACTTTTGTAGATTTTTTTTTTTGCTTGTTGCCATTGTCCAAGAAATTCCCATCATGACTCCTGTTTTTTGGAGGGTTTTTATTAGGCATCAATTTAAATAACAGATTTCAGGAGACACACAGCTTCAGTCAGAAGCCAGAACTTTCAGATAAAATAGTGTGCTTTATAATTAAAAGAATTCTGCTGAATGCAAACCTGATTTTTTTTTCAAGCATTTTATTTTCCTGTTAACATTTTAACTATATAAGACAATGTTAATATTTTTGTGTTCTATGGTATAGCACTGTTGAGACATCTTTCCCTGTAAAAATGAAACAACCAAATCTAAACAAGACAGAATCTTAACAAATCTACACATTCTTTGTAACTCTTCCTGTCTTTTTCCTCTGAAGCTTCAGAATACTTATTTATGTATGATCATACTCATCCTACTGTTTCAGTCTATAAATAATTTATTTGCCAATGAGCAAACAAGAATTCCCTGCTGTTTATTGGAAGCTTTTTTTTTTCAAATCTTTGGAAGAGACCGTAAATGGAATAAAAAAACCCGAAATTTCTAAATTTTTGATAGCTAAATTTTCTATTTTTTTACTTAACACACTGTAATTCATTTTATATGTTGACAGTATGTATTAGCTTCTACAGTAATATTACTCATAATCTTGCTAAACAACACTTCTCTAATGTGATTATGAAGTCCTCCATTGTTCCAGCTGTGATATCTCTAGGGCTTTCTCTAAACCAGTTCTAAATATACTTCTAGGAAGATAATACTCAACAGAAATCTGTAAGTTATATCAGAGAGTATATGATGAAAGCATTCATTAAATACACTTTTCCAACTGAACTTACAGTGCTTCAGTAATGTATTTGTAGAATTTTACTGTCTTTATGTGTTTGCATAACAAAATGAAGACCATCAGAATATTGGCTCTGCGAGTTACATTAGAATAATTTTTTTTTATAATTAAAAGTTTATGGTAACAGAAGTACGCAATGAATGGCAGGAGCACCATGTTTGTCTATGTATGAATCTCATTTCTTGTTAATTGCTCATGAACTGCTGGCCAAATTGCTGTGGTACTTGTCTCAATAATGTTTGAAACAGTTAAAATTTAAAAGAAATGACAACATGAAATCAAGCCTTTTTTGTTGATACCCTTGTTTCCAATGCAGCTGATGCAGTTGAAATCTAGGAAAACAAAGTTACATCTTGACACCATGGAAGTCATTAGCCCACAGGGGTTGTCATGATGATTGCAAAAATTGCCAAAACTCTGATTACAAAATGCTATTTGCTGAGACAATGCATTTCTCTTCACCATTTTCAACTTTTGGAAACATTTTTATCAGGCCATTTTTCTTGACATGAAAGATTTTTCTTTCTTTTTCATTTTCCTTTGCCTT